ATGTAAGTATTGTAAATGATTTGGTCATATTTGATTATTGATGTGAACTAGTGTAACCGTCTGTGAGAACGAAATGGTATAACCTACACACATTTACATGTATACAAAAGAAATCGCCATTCCAGTATTATGAAACGTAGCCTCTAGACGACGAAAGAGGGCGTTCGATATCGTCAATAGAATGCATATATGTTTGTGTTTATCATCATTTGAAAAAAGTAAAAAAAAATAAATACAGATATATTTGGATTATTCTGATTTTAATAGCATAGAATTCGGTTGATATTATAAATAATAGTATATTATTTACAAAATAAAGGAACAGTGATTGCCTTTAACGGCTTCACTAGGGTAGAGTCAGGAGCAACTGAATCTTATCACTGTCATGTTGAGCCCTGGTACTCTAGAATTTGAGAAATTGTTTCTTATAAAAAATTTAAAGAACCATGGCAGAATAATGATTTCAGTAATTCTAAGGATTGAAGATAATGTAGAATGTGAGTTAAACAGTAAATCTGAGATATTCACAAAGCAACAAAATTGATTCATAAATAGCGCACAAGTGCTATATGGGCAAAATCATTTGTTAGCGACGTGAAAGAATACGAATCGAATGAATTGTTTATGTGGATGTTCGCTGATTTATCATAAAATCTAAGATTTTGTTATCAATGCATGCTTCGTGAGAACATCTTTAAGAAAACCTTAACTTTTCTTACGCAGATTTTCTGGAAGTTTGAGTATTAGGCAAAGATTTAACAAGAATCTTTCTTTACGACAAACCTAGTGTATCGTGGACTTTATTAGACACGACACGCTGAACTTATTTACACATGTTAAATTGTTCTATGATGTTGTACTCTTTTCCATCAAGATATCGTTGTTTTTGAATCTGCTGCTTCTATTGAGTTCTGTAATGATCCAAAAACGGAACCGAAAATGGTTTACAAACATCGTATACTAAAGTTGCAGGTCATAGGTTTGAACTAAGGGCATCCTAATTAGGGGTATTGCTTTATATTTACTTTATGAAATAAAGATAAATACAATCTTTATTCTTTAAAAAATAAAGATAAATAAAATCTTTACTTTTGATAAAATAAAGATCAATATATTCTTTATATTTAAAAAAATAAAGATAAATAAAGTCTTCATATTTATAAAATAAAGATAAGTAAATTATTTATTTTTGAAAAATAAAGAAAATATAAAATACATGTAAGATTGTTTTCTGTGGTTTAAAAAGAAACAAATCAATACTATAATAACACGATATGTAAACTAAAAGTTTATCCATTAAATATATTTCGTCGATCGCAAAACCGAATGTCCAGAATAAGAATGTTAAAAACAGAACAATGAACTCATTATTTTTGTACGATGTATTTTCTTAAAATATCTGCCTCTCTTATCTAACTGGACTCCAGCATTACAGACAGCCCTCAAGTAAAATCATACTAGGAATTCTTTTGTATCTATCCTTATTTTAACCAGAGGCTGATTAAAATGAAGTTGAGACTTGTTACATAGTGTAATTACGTAACTTGTATTCTTCTTTCTGACAGAGTCAGCAATGAATTATGTATGACTATCGTTTATTTTACAAACAAAACAAAAGAAAAAGAAAAAACAAAGAAAAATGATCTATTTATACACGCAATATTATTGCACAATAATCCTGGATATTCTTGCGCAATAAGGTTGGAAATTTCCTGCAGCACAACCTTGAAAATATTCTTGCGCAATAACAAATGTTTCTTTTTTAAAGGAAAGAAAATGATGTACGAACAAAAATGAGAATTTCTAGAATATCTGAATGGAGATTTTCACGCTTCTTAACACGCTCACTCTTACAAGATGAGCGTCTCGCTTATCTAGTACCTTTTTGTAATAATGGATCAAGGCTATTGCTTGGTATTGTAATTCCTTTGTTGGTTGTATCCTGATAAGCTTCCTTGCAAGCAATGTCCGTTAGGTTTCATCCACATTTAGTTTCACGCGATAATGTTTACTTGATTTCGTGAAGCCATTAGGAATCCATCAATTGTAGGGAGGATGTAGTTGTGACGAAGTTCGATGTTGGAAATGCTTTTTAACAACAGTGCAACCATGAATATCGTATGATACGTTTGTAGACCAGAGTAATGACCAGGTGAATGTTGTTAATTCCATTGCGTATTGATGTTGCTGACATAATTGATCAGAAGCTGCCACGATGTGACCATATGATTTATCGAAAAAAAAAATCCCTATAAATTCGAGTACGTTATCCATGTGAAGAACCGAGGACCATATGATAGTTTGGAATATGGAAGGTGGCGTTTATTATGGAACCATATATGACCAAAGCCAATCCCAATGATTCATCAATTTAAGTTTATTATCGCCTAATAAATCACGCATAATTTTATCACCTGGGTCGAAGGCAAAGCCAATTCCAATACCAAATAAAACTAATTTAATATTCACATAACCATAAGTACGAGAGGACGATGCTGTTTCCGTAGGTACCAGTGCACCACCAAACATTATCAGTATTAATGCTAGTAATAATGCCCAACGCAATAACGGTTTCGTATTCCTTTCATCATGTTGTTGTTCGATGAGTGATTTACCAACATTTCCTAATTTTCCCATTAGTGATAGACTATGATATACTACTACTTGGTCTGATAGTTCAGGTGCTGCTTTTGGCTGAATAACGGATGACGATCGCTGTTGTAGGTGTTCTAATCTTAATTGAATTAATTTAAGACGATTTTTCAAGTCTGAATTCTCTAATTGTAGACGATGGTTGTCTGATTGTACGTGTTATGCCATCTTCATCAGTTCCACTTTCATTTGTTTGGCTTTTAATTTAATTTCCGATTCTTTCAATTGGGCTTGTTTCATACTGGATTCATTTTGCATTTGCTGAGTTTGGTGGTTCAATACCAAATTCTCCATTTCCACACGATGTTTGTCTGCGGACGGCATCCCTGACGATAGTTCAGTCAGATTCTGTGAATATGATGCTAATGTTTTGCGCTGTTGACTATTGACCTCTACCATATAATCGTCAGATGTTACAGTTTTGCCTGGACAGGATCCCTGTAATGGAAGTTTCATGTCATGTGACGTTATCTGACTTACCAGCATTCCGGCTACTTGCTCGATTTGACTGGGGGTTCCAAATGCCTCAATGAATGCCATTTGTACTTGGTTCCAGTTATAATTTACCAATGTTGCCTTCTCTAAATAGTACTATGATTTTGTTCCACCAACTAGTTTTAACGCAAGCCCTAGCCGGCGTTGGTCCTCGCCCATGCCAGCCGTTGTGCATGCTTGATTAAAAGCCGTAAGCCAATCGAATATATTTTGATCAACCTCACCAGTGAACAGCAATAATTTTTGATACGGTTGTAATTCTGGTATTATAAATGGTATTACTGCCGCAGTTGTTGTTAATGATGATCTCATATGAGTTGGCGTTGTAATTATTGAATTTGGTTCCACTGGTCCGAAATCATCATACTATTGCTGACTGAGATGTTCTTGTTTGAGATGTTTAATATTTTCCAAACGAACTTTCACTTGTTCGATAATATTCATATACTCATCATAAATGACTACTAAGCAAGACCGACGTTGTATGTCAATTTCGATGATCGATGCTGGAAGGCGTTCATTTGTAGTTTCGAATTTTACTAATACCAATTCACCGACGTTGAAATTACTATTAAATCGTGGGCGATACCGTGATTGATCACCTTGGGGACAGAATTTCGTTGATGTCGTTTCACCATTTAGGTGCGTCAATTGATATTTTTCATACATCGAAATCAGAACACTACTAACGAGTAAATTCTTCTTTGATAATGATGAAGTTCATCCAGAATTAGCACTAAGAGGTATCTATTGTCCGTTTCAAAATATAATGTCCGTTGCTGTTCTTTGAATAACTCGAGAACGCAAGCAGCTAGAGACTTGCGGTTTTCATCAATCGACAGAGGAAATCGGGGAACGACTTCTTCTCCAATAATGTCTAAGAGAAAATCCTTTTGAAATTAATTATTTTCGAAAAATATGTAAAATAAGGCATGAAAATAATCTATCATCTAGATGAAATCTTGATTTTGACCTTTGATTTAGATAGCGAGACCTGAAATCTATAGTTCAAGATACAATGCAAATTGGTTCTCTTATTACATTCTAACGTTGAACGAATTGAATCATGTGTTTACATGCGCAAATAAAAGGGATTTTTGCTATTTTTTTTACTAAATTTTCTCACTTTTTATCATAGTGGTTGGACATTTCGATGAAAATGTAATGAGAAGTAAGGAAACGCATATGTCTTGAACTATAGATTTGAGGTCCCTCTATCTAAATCAAAGGTCAAAATCAAAATTTCATCTAGATGACAGGTCATTTTCATGCCTTATTTTACATGTTTTTCGAAAATAAGTAGTTTCAAAAGGATTTTCTCTTAGACATTATTGGAGAAGAAGTCGTTCCCCGATTTCCTCTGTCGATTGGTGAAAACCGCAAGTCTCTAGCTACTTGCATTCTCGAGTTATTCAAAAAACAGTGGCGGACATTATATTTTGAAACGGATAATAGTACTCCGAACTAATCTGAAGTTCAGAAGTATATGTCAATAACGAATGTTTTCCATGGTGCCATAATATTATCAAAAGATATACTAAATATCAGATGAAAAAAAGAAATCCATATTCACATAGAAACATCAATCGTTTGGTGGTGTGAAAAAAATGTTTATAAATTTATTTGAACTTCACAAAGATCAAAAAAAGGATTAATAGCATATATCAAGTACTTTAATGAATTATTCTTGAAACATTAAATAGGAGAAAAGACTAAAAAACGACCAAATAGAATCTTTCACGAGCTAATCAAAGTGAAAAAAAGTAAAGAGCTCGGTATGCTTATATGGAAGAAAAACCTCTTGATACTTTTTGCTTTGAAATTCTTTTTGTGAAAATTTACTTAACGCTTTGAAGAAATGAAGATTACCTCATTCAAAAAAACCTGCTATAGACGCTTTACGGATACTAAAAGAAAGCTTCAACGCGATAGCGTTTTTCGACATTTTTCTTCATCGTTTTATTGGACTGGATATTTAAGGGTGTAGATGTCCGTAACTAGCTGGTTTTTGTGCCTACTCAAACTCATTAAAATAAAGAATTAATATTTGACCAGCATAAAGGTTATGCAATGTTTCCTACGAACTTATTTTCATAAAACTGTAGCAGCAACATCGAATCTAAATTTGAAAGCTTTTAATGGTACCACAAGCAGATATTAGATGGAAAATCCAATCTAAAAATCGATCGAAGATATCATCCAAGCTTTCTCACTGCTCGTCAATTAACCGCTCATTAAATGGATAAAAGAGTTCTATTTCTTGGCACCTTACATAATTAATAACAACGCTTTCTTGATAGACTGAACACCCGTATGCAACAAACTTCTTCCAGTTCATATATCCTATTGTTATAGCACGGATTTGTTTCTTTTTAGATCATAGAAAAAATCTTACATTTATCTTCATATTTTCTTTATTTTTCAAAAATAAATGATTTATTTATCTTTATTTTATAAATATAAAGACTTTATTTATCTTTATTTTTCAAGTATAAAGATTTTATTTATATTTATTCTTTAATATAAAGGTCAATAAAGATAAAGTAACACCTCTAGTTCTGATCTATTTCCGATTAGGAGGTCAGATTAGAAATAGAAAAGGAAATTTTTATATTTTGGCCAGTATTTCGTTGTTTATCAATATTTTTAGGTTATTTTACTATACAAGGTGGGCCATAAATAACACGGCGATAAGAAATTTAAATATCTCCGCCAAATGTCGAGCAAACAAGCTTAAATTTTTACCAGTGATAGAGGCTTACTTAAAGTTTTTTTTGATACGAGAAACATGGACAAATCAATGTTCCTATGTATTAAGATCAACATCAATAAGGATTTTCTACTTGTTATGGACTCTATAAAATGCTACAGGATGATTTCAAACCGTTTTTATAAGCTGTTACCTGTCTATATATACTCTCTTATATACAAATAATAAGACTGTATAGTGAATGGAACGTATACATTCTTAAATTTCAGATTCACAATAATACATGGCACGGCGTCAATTGAGTGTGAATGAGAAGACATGGATTGTCAAACACATGTATCGTCTTGAATACCCAATCAATGTGGAAAGATTATGGTGTAAGGAAATAAATAACAATCCTCCACATCGAGATACGCTAAGATTACTGATGAAAAAATTTGAACAGACTGGTTCTGTACTAGAGATGTGCGGGATCAAGTTTTTTGGTTCTGGTCCCGGTTCCGGTAAATTTGTTTTGGTCCCGGACCCGGTTTCGGTAAATTTTTTTTGGTCCTGGTCCCGGTAAAGTTTTCTTTTTGGTCCCGTCCCGGTCCCGGTAAACTTTTTTAGTCCCGGTCCCGGTAAACTTTTTTTAGTCCCGGTCTCGGCCCGGTAATTTTAGTTTTTGGGACCCCAATTTTTGTTTCGATCTAGAAAAACCTATTCCAGAATTTATGCATGTCACATCTAAAATAATTTCTCCATACTTGTTTTTTTAATTTATTTAGTTGACGACTACACATGAAAAAAGTTTATAAAAAAGAACGATCGAGAACGCATTCTCAAATAAAAGAACGCGGTTTTTTTTTTATGTAAAAAACTGTTCTTACATCCAAGGAACGCGTTCCAATAGAACGCAAAAAGCGTTTTCAGGATTCGTTTCAAAAAACGTGTGCAAATGTTTTCAGAACGCGTTTTATTATTTGAAAAACGCGTTCTTGACCGTTCTTTTTTATAAACTTTTTCATGTGTAGCACTTTTTTGAGTCATTTCTTTTGAATTATGTTCTGGTTCATACCACTTATAAGATAATTTGCTTAAAACCATAGAATATTTTACAATAAACTTGAGTTCCCGTTCTGCCAAATTTTTTCCTCGTGGTCCTGGTCTCGGTACTGGCTCCATTGCCAGGGACAGAGATCAGGATCGGGATTCGTCCCACATATCTGTAATCATCATGTGCTTTCCTTTTTGTATTACAAGATATTAGTATAAAAATAATAAATTAATTTACGATGTACGGAAAATTTCATTTGAAAACTAGCAAAGCTAAGACCATCATATAGTCTCGGATTCCGGTTTCGGTCTCGGTAAAATTTTTTTTGGTCTCGGTCCCGGTAAAATTTTTCTTTTGGTTCCGGTTCCGGTTTCGGTCCCGGTAAATTTTATTTTTTGGTCCCGGTCCCGGTCCCGCATATCTCTATTCTGTACTCAATATTGGTCCACCTGGTAGACTGGTATCAGTTACTGATCAAACTACAAAAGACGAAGTTTCGTCGATTTTGGAAAAAGAACCCCGAACGTCGACTCGTCAAATGAGTTCAGAATTAAATATTTCAAGATCTTCAGGTCGACGTATCTACAAGTCTATGGGTTTTAAGCCATATATTCCTAGATTAGTTCATGAACTCAATGAAGTTGATTTTGATCGACGAATTGAATATTGCGAAACGTTTTTATCGCTCCTCGAAAGCGAACCGGATCTTATTCATCGTGTCATTTGGTCAGATGAAGCAGTATTTAAACTCAATGGACATATTAATCGTCATAATTCTGTCTATTGGGCAACAGAAAATCCAAATCTTACATGGAAGCAAACCATGCAAGCTGAAGGTCTTATTGTATGGACTAGCATATTGTCTCAGGGTATAATCAGGCCTTATTTCTTTGATGACAGGGTGACTACTCAAAGTTATCTTACAATACTGAATGATTACTTCCATCCAATATCTTATGATTTGCCAGGTAATAAATCAATGTTTTTTATTCAAGAATCAATCTCTTGTGATTTGTTAGATGACAAATCAATTTTTTTTTGCACGATGGCGCACCAGTACATTACGCTTCTAATGTTCCAGATTGGCTGGATGAAAACTTTCCAGCGAGGTGGATTGGTCGTCGTGGTTCCATTGACTGGCCTGCTCGATCACCTAATCTTACCCCTGCTGACTTGTTTTTATGGGGTTATCTCAAAGATATTGTGTACAAAAACAAGCCTCGAAACTTATCCAGTCTCAAGCAATCAATTATTTCTGCCTTTTCGACAATAGATTCGGATCTGTACAAAACAGTCTGTGAATCAGTACCTGAAAGACTTCAAAGATGCATCGATGCTAATGGACATCAAATCGAACATTTGAATTAATTTACTTTAAAATCTCAGTTTATATTGACTATTATTCATATAGTAAACTTTATTTTGGCTTTCTCATGTCACTAGTTGAAAAAAAGAGTAGGGCTGTACAGCTCACGCTCACATGAGCGTGAGCATGAGCGGTGGTCGCTCACGCTCATATGAGCGCTCATGAGCGTGAGCGGTTTTTACTTAAAGAAAGCACGAGTGTCTCTGATAACTTTTTTCAACTTTATTCCTCGAAAATCGACATTGACGAATTTTGTGCCTGGGGTCCCCCTCAGGTATCATGAAAAAAAAATTTTTTTTTCACTAGTCAAAATCAGATGTAGTGGTAGATTGAGAGATGGTGGTTAAGAATATCACAATGAGAGTTCTCGAAATCTTTTTATTTCTAGAATAGTCCTAACCACTCTATGCACTATATTCTTCATTATTGGGATTTTCATAGAATAGTTATTCACTCAAATTTAGCCAGAAACATCTTTTTTACCCAAAATTTTGAGTTCTCTACGAATGTGAGCTTGTTACGCCGAAAAAAAATGTAAATTTTGGAAAAAAATGGTCGTTCAGGTGCAGAAATGGTCCTTTTTTAAATACATAGAATTTTGTCCCGATAACTTTTTGGGAAGCCCAAGGGGGAAAAAGCGATACTTCATCTACTCCCATACTTTTGGAAGTACAATGGGAGTACAGTGGGAGTACAGTGGGAGTACGATGGGAGTACGGTGGGAGTACGGTGGGAGTACAATGGGAGTACGATGGGAGTACGATGGGAGTACAGTGGGAGTACAATGGGAGTACGATGGAAGTACAGTGGGAGTACAATGGAAGTACGATGGAAGTACAAAGAAGTATGATGGAAGTACAAGAGAAATATAATAACAGTACATAGAAGTACCTTGAAATATGAGCAGCTGCAAGATATCAAAGCAATGATCTTCGTGAAAGATGAAACTATTTAAAATTAAGATATATAAAGGGTGTTTGATAAGTTTCGGTCCCATTTTTATTTTATATTATTTTTGCTATTTTAAACGTAAGGGTGTCTCGTCCGTATATAATTTTGAAGAGCAGAGTCTCGACTATCATCCACGCGGATTTACAATCAATTTGAATCAATCCTAAGAAAAAGCTACACGAAAGAAGTTGTTGAAAAAATTTCATCAATTTCGATTTTTATATTTTGTATTATATATTAATTTTTAAACATTAAGGACCCCCTCAAAAATCTAACTTCGACAGGGTACATGAGATATTGATGAAACTTTGCATAGATGTTGGGCTCATGGAAGTACATTAGTAAAAAAAATTTCACACCTCTAAACCTTACCGTGCAGGAGATATCCAGGTACTAAGCTGTAAAACAGGGCTTTCACGCGTACAAATTTTTTTCTAATATACTTCAAGCTGTAGAGTTCGGGTTGCTTTTATTTGAAAGAGAACTCCTTACTGCTTCAGACGAGGGAAAGGGTTTTTTAATTTTTACTTTGTTGCATTTTTTAGATCATCAAAATCTAAAAAATCTGAAAGTCCTAGGCCTGGTTTTCTGGAGAACTCAGGGTTTCTCTAGCATTAACGATTAATTAGAAAATTCCTTTCCCTC